ACAAATTAGAGTATATTTTCTTGTTTTTATCTGCTTAAGATAAAATGCTAACAAATAAAAAAAATTACTCACTTCTTGGCCATACCAAAAGCTGAATTCGTCACTTGGTGTTCAAAAATGATATTTTTCTGTTCCAAAACTATTAGTTTATTTAAATTTATTGATAAAATTATAACGATAGTTTATTAGAGTCCAATAATTACATTTTAGGGAGAGAAGGGGAGGGTGTAGACAAATAATCACAAAATATCACATTGTGGATGGAGTTGTCTAGGTCTAGTAAGTTATCACGTGCATTTATTTTTTACGTCAATTTTTTAAAAAGTCAAACATTTTATAAAAAATTCAAAATTTTACTATTTTTTCTCAAAACTAAAAGTACACTTGATGTTTGGTGGGGGAGGGGCGGGGTACTTAATTTTAAATATCACCACGTACACCAAGGAGAAGGGAGGGTCCAAAAATTTATAAAAAAAAATGGTCACGTGATATAAAGAAGCCTCTTTATATGTAGTTTTTATATTCCATTTCACAGCTGCCATTATTTACTCGTACTCTCACCATGTAGGATCCGACGTCAACTCAAGTAATAAATAAAAAATAAACATTATTGTTTATTATTAGCTGTAATAATGAGATTATTACAAAAACTAAGCATAAAGAAAAATATTTAAAAATTGCCTCATGTGGCTTGTTTTTATTTCACATCAGTTTCGGCTTCGTAATGTCAATATCTTAGTGACGTATCCAAAAATAAAATTTTATAAGATTTTTAGTATTTTTGGTTCACTTTTTTTTGCTTGTGAGTTGTCTTCATTGTCACAGCAATTTTGGTATCTTGATCTCTCGATCTTAATTTTGTGGTGTCGTCACCTCTGTTTCAAAGTTTATTGACGAAGTATAAATTATATATCGAGATGAGTGTCCCGAAATGAAATGCAGTTCATTAAGGATTCAAAACACGAATGCTTCTGACGCACAATGCAACTGCAACTCTGATGTTGAGACGTGAAGGAACTCCTCTTCTTCCTACGTCAATACAAAAGATCTATACGATATGAGAAAATTTGCATCTGTAGCCAATACTGAGTTTATCCTCTATTTGTTAAGGGGATTTGGGCTAGTCACTGGTAAAAAACAAATGGTATTAAAAAAATTGTGATCAGAAAAACATCTGATTGTGAGTGTGAAATGCGTCATCTGTACATTTTATTTGATTTTTTTTTTAAACCTTATTTTGAATTAGTCAAATTTTTAACGTCTTATTTGTTTTTGAAGATTCTGTTTTTTTCAAATTTGTTATGTTTTTTTTTTATAAAAGTAGTTCTTATTTCTTATCTTATTTCCATGTAAAATTCCCTAATAATTTTGTTAATTACACCGCAAGAAATCGCTCACCGTTAAAAGATATAATCAAGATAGAAAAGAACACGTAGTGAAAAACAAATATATGTATTATTAAAACTATATGAGAATCGTGTACCAGACACTTTGAATTTCACTCATTCACTTTCTACGAGTTCGATAAAACACAATTACAACTGCAATTAAGATCGTGACTTTCATTATACTTGAAATTTAATCACGGCTAAATGAATAAAAACTGAAAACGAAATTTTACCAGTTCATGGAATTCTTTTTCTAGTGATTGTAATTAGTTTTTATGCTTTTTATTTCTTGGAATGATCATTACGTTATTTAGCTATACAATTCTCACAATATTTTTTTGTAAATAAGCGACTAGACGTTAGTAGTATTCTGCCTTAAGAGGAGTTCCATATGAATTCTAGCTATATTATTACAAGGTATAAAAATATTACAAAAATTATATATATATATATATATATATATATATGTCTAATATTCACATTCAGTATGACTTGTATGAATGTTAGGATGTCTATTTTCCAGAGTTGGACACTCTCAAGACTTTCTTTATTTTTTTGACTGAGTTTTTTGGTTATTTTTTGTCATTTGTAACTAGAAAACACATACAACTCTAAATTTTTACCTTCTTATCCTACCACAAACCTCTATTTAGAATAATTTTTAAGCTTGAATTTTACTCTAAAAAACTATTTACTTCTATCAAGGGTCATTTACCCCCGATATTTTTATTAAGATCTGGTATCAAATTTTTGAGTTTATATAATGCGGATATAAATTAAAATTTTAGGAATTTATAATTTTATTGATTTTTAAAATTTTTAGATTTACAATTAAAAAATTGTATATTAAAATCTAAAGGTGCAACTGTTCTTGAGGGGAAAACTGGCTACAACAAACCTATGACAAAGCTGTAAATCTTCCGACAGAGTTTTTGATATTTCATTATTACAAATTATTTGGGTTTTGCATCTTAATTAAAAAATTCCTGAATTAGAAAAACGAACGAATATAATATAATAAAACATCAGATCTCCAAATGTTTAAATTCGATTTAAATGAAATCAGTTTCAGATTAGGCTGGTATTTGCAGTGACCATTCATGTGCAATATTTGCCGGGCCAGCTAGTATATATACATATATATACATATATATATATATACATATATATATATATATATATATATATAATTTTTATAGTATACTTACCATTTTGAGTATTTGTATTACATTTACATTCACCATTGTGATCCCAAAAAAAACGATTATAGCAACTTCAAAATGTTTTCATAAAGTGCATGTCTGCATTGAATTTATAATTAGTTCTCAACAAAGAAGGTACTCAAAATAACATCTCACAAAACCTCACAATTCAATAATAAATATTAACATGAGCCTGCAAAGCAAATATGCCATATGCATACATTATTATATATTGACGCAGGCAAATATATATGAAAAAGCCAATGGTGATGCTCCTTGAATAATAAAGCTTTGTGTTTATTTTTTTCAGTCTTATTTTTATAAATTGTACAAATATTTGGATGGTCTATCATTGTTAAAAATAAATGACTAAATAAATTATCTATTTTTATCCATGAAATTTTAATAAATCGAGCATTTTTACATCTTCTACGAAATTAAAAAAAGAGTTAAATTCATTCTGATATTTGATCAAAATCAATTTTGATAAGCAAGTACATGGTTTTACATTGAAAATTAAATGAACAAATTGCAGAAATAAAATGATATATATTTTATAAATAATAAATGTAAATACAATTTACATGGATTTGATCCACTAGAATCAACAAACAATATTAATTCAAGTTCTTATCTTGAATATCTTCGAAAACTGATATAAAGAATGAAATTTTCAAACATTACGTACATATATGTTATGGCAAGCAATATCAATTTTCATATAAGATTTTCCGACTACGAGTACCATAAATCAATTCATCAATGTTTGTCGATTTTGGTGATAGAACGAACTTATTGGAAAAATTTATAACACAAAGCCGTTTTAAAACCATAAAATTTTAATAAATAACCCTATAATAAATATATTGACTGTTTGCTTTCTTTATTGCAAGCCAATTTGAACAAATTGAGAAAATTTGGAGTGCTCAAGAAAAAGCTTTATATTTACCATAACACCATTCTTAAAATAAAATTTTAGTTTCAATTTATTTTCTCTTGAGAATTAAGCTTGATTAAATCGAATATTTCGCTATTGACACAATTTCACGATAAATAAGAAAATATATTCGTAATAATAAATTACTTTTAATTAATAAACATAGCATATTAGAAATTTTGTAAGAAACTAATATTATCTCATAATCTTTAATAATAGATCCAAAAATATTATACATCTACGAAAATTGCTTTCATTATTACTCTCAAATATAATCCTTAATATTAATATGTCTTTTATATCCAACTATATAGTTAAAAAATAACTAAAATAACCCTGTAAAGCATTTAGATATATATTATATCTTAAAAAAAATAATATTTTTTTAAAATATCATTCAATTTATTTTATGTTTTTATTTTCAGATTTTTCCCTGCAGATCTGCACTTGCTTGGTAAGTTTTTTTTTATTTATTAATCATAATTATAATAAATTTATTATAATCAACGTATTTCTAATATTGATAAAAATGTTGACATCAGATTGTGTTAAATTAATTTTGAATGATTACTACCATTCCTATGTTGGATTAATTTGTTAGAAAACCCAAATTGATAAAAGAAAACCCTTGTCTGACTGTTGATCAAAATATGAATTATCCTCATTTATGTTTTCAATACAAGGTTTAATTTTGAGAAAATAATAAAAACAATTAAAAAATTGGTTATGGCAATATTCTAAGAATATGGGAATAGGATTTGGGATATTATATAAAATAAATAAAATGAATTTATTTCCATATAAAATAAAAATAGAATATAAATTGATACGTGCCTGAACTTCAGCAACAATATGAAATTATTTTATACCTTCTGGTTTGAAGTGTAAATAAATCTCCAGGCGTTTATATATATATATATATATATATATATATATATAATATATATATATAATATATATATATATATTATATATATATATATATTTATAAATTGTATTAATTTTTAAAATTAATGACTTATTTAGGCAGTGCAAATCATAGCTTTTTGAGGGGCTAATCGATTAATAAATCCAGATTATTTTCAATTCAACCACAATATTATTTTATTCTACAATAATTTTGTACAAATTCAGTATACAATTTCATAACTTATATAATACACAAATCACAATAGTTCTCAATTAAATATAGATTTTCTTCATTCACACCTTATTATAAGTAATACTATTCATAATAATATTGATTTGAATGACTCATATATTTGCAGTAAACAATTAATAATTATAACTGTTTTTATATCAATTTCTCAATTGATTGTTTGCTTGAAAATCAAATAAGTTGTCACTTCTATCATGAGCTCAATTACAATATTACTTAAATTATGGTAACTTTCCTTGTATCATACACCTAACTTATGAAAGTTTACTTATCCCTAATAAAATATAAAAAACAATATTTTAAAGTCTTAAAATCTAAGGTAACAAAAATTTAGAAATAGGAACATGTAACAACAATTGATTTGCAATACGACTAAATTCTGCAGAAAGTTTTTTCCTTAATTGAGGACTCATTGCTCCTAGAACTTCTTGTCCATTTTCTCTCAAGAAAAGATTTGTGGCTTCAGCTAAAATTAAAATAAACTATCATTAATCTTGATAAATTTTAGAACAAATTTGATTGAAATTACTTTGCACATATTAAGTAGTACTTTTTTTTATAAAATCAATCATGAGTCAAAACATGTAAATGAGTAAAAAATAATGCAATTTCATCTTATGTGCCTAGTGATTCAACGCAAAATGCATGATCATCTTTATTTTTATTGAATATTAAGTGATTCTCATTGAAAACATAAAAAGTTATTTTTTATAGTTTGTTTTTATATAAAATGCCATTTTTATTTCACATATTCTATAATTAGTGTTCATTATGAATACATATGAATCAAACCAGATTCTAATATGTTTTTCTACCTATCTCAATAGCTTGTTTTGATCCGAATGTTGAAATAATAAATAAATTAATTTGAAGTGCATAATTTGTGTACTTTCTGTAAACAGTATTAATTATGATGTAATTTGTGTTTTAGTTATCATGCAATTGCAAATTGCTACATTCTAATATCTTGCGACCTTTCATGGTTTAAATGACTACGAATATGCAAAGTGCATTAAAATGCTTGCGAAATTCTGCGTTTTCGCAAATACCTATAAGTTACTTTTACTGCAAGAATTTCCGAAAGATAACGCCCAGGCTTAATTACATTTACACGAAGTTTAAATTTACGTGATTGCCAGGTGGTAAAACTATGTTTTAAGACATCAGGAATTAAATTTTGTAGCAAAACATAAAGTTTGTAGTAATATTTTTTGAGAAATATCTAGACAAAATAACACCGAAATATGCTCATTAACTTCTAAATATTTTTATCATAATTTTCCTATTAACGTTACAATACTTCGAAGTTCTTGAACTCACCGAAAGGTAAAAATATTTATAGAGAAGCTAAAAAAAATTTTTTTTTCAGAAACAAAATTAAGTTTTCAGTTTATGTACATAATGTGTTTATGTACCAATTTAATAGAAGGCTAAAAAAATCACAATAAAAACTTGCACTAATTTTTATTAGCAGTGTGTAAAAGAATGGAAATGGAAAGTACAAATACTTTTCATAAATTATTTAAAATTAAAAAGTTGTATCAGCAACTTAATATCAAAACTTAAAATTAAATGGAATTAACTTGAAAATGTAGATGAAACAGATTTTATTCATACTAGATAAAATAGATATCTGAGAAAATTATCCTTGATTTTATTAAGTTTTGGCATATTTCTTATTTTTTATAACTATTTGAAAAATGATTGATATGGTACAGATTTTAAAGAAAAATATCCTTATTGTGAAGTTTTTGGATAATTTTCATTTCAAGGCTTTCAATGTCTCTAACCTCATCATAAAATTTTTGCTATAAAAATTTGGAATTGAAATATGATGGGATAATTAGACTGAAATTATTATCATTTTTAAATATATTCGGCTTTTTTTCCGTTTATATTCTAAGATTCTTTATACGGTTTTTCAATAAAATTTCAGAAATTATATATCTTTCTTAAAAAAGGATCTATGTTTAATTTATATTAAAACATATTAATTGGAATTATAAATTGAAATAATGATTATTTTTATTATTGTATATCTGTTTCTTAAGATATTTCAGAATTTCTTTATATCGCATTTTATATACATTTTTATAATCAAATTAAAAAAGAATGGAATTATCTATTTTGAAAAACGATCTTCTTCAACATTAAATAATGACATTTTTAATATCGTGCATATGGTTTTCATATCTCAGAACTTTTATATGCCACTTTTCGAAGTATTTTTCACCAAAAAAAGAATCATGATTTTTTTAGTGAAAAATTAAGGGGGATTATACCAGTAATATCATGTATTAAAAATATTTAAAAAATGTTTAAAAAATCCAAATATTTACTTATGACCAAATATAATTATACTTATAAACAGAGACTTTGTTAAATTATAGAGATACTGGTAGAATTTTAATACATTTAACAATGATCAATACTACTCAAACATCTTTTTTCGGCAAGGCAGATTCGTTAGATATGAGAGAAAAGTTTTTTTTTCATATTTCAACAGAATAAAGTACTCTGAATTCTATAAGCTGGTTTTGCTGAAAATATAAATCAAAAGAGTTATCCGGCTCGAGGTAAAAATTACCTATACAAAATGTCTCTTTACCCCTCTTACCACAATTTTGGCCTTATCACCATTTCCACGTACAAATAATACGCTTCCCCTACCATTACCCTCTGACATTGGTATGTGGGATTACGACATATTCATTAACCTGTGACTAGAAATGTAATAATAGTATAGTATGTCTTCGAAGTCGGAAACTTACTAAGAATTCGATTGTTGTTGAAGACTCGTGACACCTGCATTCGCACGTCGCGCACCTTCAGGTCCAAATGGAGCGAATCGACATGCAAGTACTTGAGCCCGTTTCTCTCTGATGTTGACACTGTACCTGATAAATCGGCTGTTACACCATCTGAAATGATAAAATGATAATGAATATTAATAAATGGTAGTTTGCCCAAAGGCAGGTCCATGGTGTGAGAGGCACCACAAAACAAATGATTCCCTTACCCTTCATCCAATTACCATTATTTCCTCTCCCCATTTTTTTTATTACATGTATTTTTCTTTCCAAACTTCTGTTTCTATGCCATCATAAAATGACAATGAATATTAATAGATAGATAGATAGTAAAAAAATAACCCTGCCATCTCAATATTAAACAGTAAAATTATTTCAAATCTTCTTGGAAGCCATAATATTCCGATATATGACAATGTTTTTAAAATATCGTGGACTTGTCACAAAATATCACATAATCTAAAATATTAAAAAGGCATTGCCCCATGTCAGGATACTAACGCACTGCGCTTGAACAATGAGCTTTTCAGGAAATAAATTATTAAACGTCATGAGAATCTACAAGTCAATTCAATGAATACCTACAAAAATAGAATCAAGAAGTATCGAGTATCGACTATATCATCAAAGAAAAAATGGTCATCTAAATTGATGTAAAAGAGCTTTACTTTTTGCATAATATTATCCATGAAGGTCTTATTGGAGAAACCTTGCTGAAGCCATGGATGACTGTTAATAAATTAAAACAAAAAAAAAATTAAAAGTAAAACTAGAATTAAATTGGAAAATCAGTCAAAATATGATAATTGGTGAAAAAAATTTAGGTTCTTGTTATGATTACTCATGGAAAATGGATTCATTATAGAAATTAATTGCGGTTGGATTCAAATTTATTCTAGGATTTTGCCAAAGCTTGATGCTTGGCAGACCCTCTATAGGGTTATAGTAAAAAATCAAACTATTGAAAAATATTCCGAATTATTCATGGATTTTGACAAAACACAGCTTGGTACTCTAAAAAATTATTGGATTTTAGTGAGATTTCAAAAAATTGACAAAAAATTAGAATTTTTTATGGATTTTGACAGAACACAGCTTGATGCATTGCAGAAATTTATTAGGTTATGATAAAATTTCAAAAAAAGAAAAATATTCAGAATTATTCATGGATTTTGACAAAACACAACTTGGTATTTGATAGATCCTCTAAAAATTTATTGGGTTATGGTAAAATTTCAAAAAATTGAAAAATATTCAGAATTATTTATGGATTTTGACGAAATATAGCTTGGTGCTTGGCAGACCCTCTAAAATTTTATTAGGTTATTGAAAAATTACAAAAACTTGAAAAATATTTAGAATTATTTATGGATTTTGACAGAACACGGCTTGATGGTTGGCAGACCCTCTAAAAGATTATTGGGTTATTTAAGAAAATTGACAAAAAATGAGAATTTTTTATGGATTCTGACAAAACACAGCTTGGTGCTTGCCAGACTTTCAAAAAATGTATTGGGTTATGGTGGAATTTCAGAAAAAATCAATTATAATTTTTCTGGGGTTTGATAAAACATGAAGAGTCTGTCAAAAGTAGTTCAGCTCTAAAAATCAATTCCAAATTGAAAAAAATGTCAAGTTCTTTCGGATTATAAACTAACACTTTAAAATATTTATAACACTATAGAATATGATTTAAATGTGAAAGTTAATTCAAATTGGATAAAAAATTACTTGTTACTAAGTTTACCTGTTTTTTAATTTTTAAGCGTTGGTTAGTAAGCTGTGCAACGTGATATAATTTCAATTTCAAAAATTTTCAGATTTTCTTCAATTATTTATGTATATATATATATATATATATATATATATATATATATATATACTATCCAATTATTTGAATTTCAATTTAATTAAATTTTACATTTCAACAAAGCTATGCTTTGTTAGACTATTATTTCTGTGAAGTGCTATTTGTTGAAAACATATTTTTCCAAGAGTCGAATGAAATGTGTTTGGATAGCAAAAATATTATTCTCATATTAAATTATAATTGCATTGCTTGAATAAACTCTGCAATCATAACAAGTTACATATTTATCGTAAGATTATCTCTTTAGTAGAGGAAATGTTGTTATAGAAATATTTATTAGGTGGTAAAAATTATGGGGTTTGGAATAAAATAATTTGATAATGAATAAAATCATTTTCAGTTTTCTCCAGATAGATATTTTTGAAAACATCTCGGAAAATGAAAATTTTGAGGTTTTAGTTGTTAGTCCTTAATGTAGGCTCTATTGATCACGTATCTTCAACAGGACAAATTAGCACGTACACAGTTTTTATTTATTAAAATGATGAAGTATACGTAGGATTAGATAAAAGATCAGAAAATTAAATGATATATGATTACATCAATTCTTCACATATTTCTCATTTTGTATCAGACTGGATTTTAACCATCTCGGGATATGCAAATCTCTTCAGATTCCCCCATTAATCATTTATCCAGACTGGGACAAATTACCACTAAGCCCACTAAGGCAGCTTTTATACAATAAACAACAATCTTAAGAAAGTTAAGTAAGACAGACAGCTGGGAAATCTCTAAGTATGATTATATCGGCGTGCCAGAATTTTCTCGGCGTCGTCGTTCTGCTTTTGCTTATTATTCATTCTGTATACGGAATAAGGTAAAATGTAAAATGTAAAATATTCTCATTGCTCTCTAGCGCCCTATACCTTTGTATATCCAATTATAATCGTCTTATCTTATAATATTCTTCCACCGGGAGTGAAATCCTTATCATTTCGTATCATTGCATTAAAATGTAAATCTTGTCCGATACATTTGCGACTGAAAAATCCTTGGCCTGCGCGAATATGTAAAAAAATGAGATATTATTCGTGTTTTTTATAATTATTCTTTGTTGGGTAGGTAGGATATGCTGATAATTACAGTCGTCATAGCATCTATAAACCATAATGATTTTGAGATAGGGTCTAAAGGTGAGAAAAATGAAGTATGTTTGTCCGAACAAGTTTCCATCAAAATGTGCGTTGCGTACGGTTGTGATTTTATGTCATTTTTGAGAGCAAATTAAATAAAGAAAGAAATCTTTCTTGACCAAGACAAATTACAAAAGAGAAAGGGAAAAGAAAATTCAACACAAGAAAAATAAGATTCCATATAATTTTCTTGCAAACATGTTGTGTTGTGCTTCATATTTCTGACTCCCCTTTACAGCAATTTTGTACATTCCAACATTTTTATTTAATTAAATTTATTAATAAATTTATTTAAAAAAAATTACTTTCAATAATAAATAACTATTGCTAATAGATTTATTACCAAATGTTCCACTGAAAGTTCCATTTCCACTAGCTGGTAAAATGATCAAAACTCCACTGCTCAAATATTTTGATGCAATCCTTAGCCTTGGCATGGTAACTCTGGCCTGGAACGGTTTTCCATTTTCACTTAACCTTAGAAAAAATAAAAAAATATATGTAAGATAACAATTTTTACCTCTATACTCATACACATTTGTATTGGTCAATTATCTTGCAAACTTATAAATTCAAGCAGTTCTATATAACTTAACATGCAAATAGTAATTTCTCTGATTACTTTTGTATGAGCATTTCGCGTGCAAGTATATTTTATATATCTAAGAAGCAGAAGTAAATATAGTTCCAACCATGATATGAAATCACTGATTTATATTTAAAATATTTTAGAATTTTGGAAAATGCCACCTTCATAAAGGTAATTTTTTGTTCCATATCCACTTACTATTTTGTTAATTTTTTAAAGAAATTTTGCTACATAACAATGTGTTTAGTTTAGTTTTTTATTTTCAGTCTTATTTTTCGTAACACTTATTATGACCTTGCACCCCTTTTTTGTATGATGCTAAGAAGTTAACACAATATTTATTTTTTCATTTTATGCATATTTCAACAATTTTGTGTGTCAATGTCATAATATCACAACAATTTACACTATTTTTTATTCATACATAAACCCGCATGTGTTATTTGTGTTTAACATGGTAACAAATAACAATGATGTTAAGTATGTAAAGAATTTTATAGAGATACGCAATTTTTACATCTAATAGAGATACGTAGTTTTAAATAAAAAACGTAAATAATTTTATATAAAATATTACAGTAAATATTTTGATAAGATTGTCTATTACAAGATATAAATATGGTTGCTACCTTAATTATGATTCCAAATTTCTTAAGCGATTCCAAATTAACAAAAATCTTTTCAAAACTTTAAAATCGCCACTTAACCATAAAATTTTCTTGTTTCATTGATAATAATTATTTTTACCCCACCAAAGTCATCCTATTCAACGCCCATAAATAAATTTTACTTAAGAGTTTTTCTATTCACAAAACTTTCTACAGAACAAAACCTTCTATTTTCATTCTTTATTTATATAATGGGATGCTTTTGTAACTCACACAAAATAAGATTCAAAAAAGATCGTGAAAAATTGAATGGTTCTTTCTGAATGAAAAAGTTTTCCTCAAATATTTTTCGTACGAGAAAGGATTTCCAATGACGAGTGAGGATGATGGAATCCGAAGAAGTTGAAAATTTGGACTGAAGTTTGGAAAGTAAATATTAAATTTATTAAGTGTGGGTAAAAACTAACACATGGAATTGGCAATAGATATTGATAAAAAATAGTAATACTGAATAGTAATATTTTCGTGTAAGATGTACGGGGTACGAGATAACCGTTTTCGTGGATGTGTGGTGAATATATATATATATATATATATATATATATAGTTAAACAATAGAAAATGTAAATTTACCATTGCTGAACTATCGTTGCATAAGAGAACGTCAAGTTTAGCAGAAACGGTGTTAATTGCATATTTGCACATTCGCGTATTAGCATAGAAATGATTTAATACTTTTGTCTCCCATTTCGAATATTCCACAGAATTTAATAAATTAATTTATTCAAGTACATGATCCAATTATATATGCATATTTATTTAAATTGAAAATTAATAATATAATTCTCTGCATAATCTGTTTCGTCGTGATGACATCGATTTATCAGTCAGCTTGGAATGGTCAGGTTAGGAAATAGTCACTGATAAATGAGTTTTAATATTTATGAAAGATTGAAATCATTAAAATCTTAAATATTAATTAAAATCATTTAATTTTTAATAGAATCGATTATAAAAAATTAAAAACTGATCGAAAGATATTGACTGGGAATCGTGCTGAATAGTTTTTGGTCAAGATCGGCCGTTTCTTTGTAATTAAATGTGGAAAAAATTGGACGGATTCCATGGTTTTTTATGATTATAGAGATCTTGATCATACTACTCATACTCAAATATTACGGCACTACGACAAGAGGGAATTTTAAAAATTTATCAAAGTTTGAAATAATATGCTTGAAAATTGCGTTTTTGCAAATACAGATTTTTTGAAAAAAATTTTGGGATTTTTTGAAATTTCTTGAAAGCGTTTGATTTTTATCGGTTCTATCAAATTACAAAATATCTGATTTTCGACAGCGAAATAGCCATTTAAATAAAAATTCTTGTTATTTCTAAAACCGGTAGACTTGCCTTTGCAAAAACTCAATCAATTAAGCCAAAAAAGTGAATTATTTATTAACTTTCCGTAGGGTAAGTTATAGTAATCGCAAAAAAATCGAAAATGAAAATTTTTATATATCTTTACGTTTCAGAGGTTTCTGAATATTTTGGCATACCTTAGAAAAAATGGATGTATGTGTGTGTATGCGTGTGTGTGTGTGCGTGTGTGTATGTGTATTCTGATACAAATTTTCGTCGACGATTTCGGGAACACGGATCAACCGATTTGAATAATTCAAAAAACATTGATTCGTATTGATAAGGAGACGTGCTGATTAGTTTTTGGCAAAGGCAGGTCTAGCCGTTCCAAAGATACGGGGCAAAAAGTGCCGAAAACGGTAAATCAGTTTTTAAGAAAACGGAGCGTCAGATTTTAATAATTCAAATAACATTTTACTTGTACTGACAAGATGAAGAATTGATCAAATTTTCATGAGGGCAGATTTAGCGGTTTCGGAGATCTAACGAAAAAAGTAAAAAAAAGCCATTTGGCGGTCGAAAATGATCGTATGCATATGCATATTAAATTATCAGATACTTGATAAAGATTTAAACGATAAGTATAAATTTTGTCTACATTCCTATGAGTTCCATACCTATGAGTTCCGACTCGGCGCTTACACGCTTTATATTTTGTCTCTATGCAGTTAAAGCAGTACGATTGCTTTGAAAAAAAGTTCAGATCTTCCAAAATATGTCAAAATAAAGAAAACATTTTTTTCAAAAAAAAAAAAAATTAAAAAAAAAATTATAAAAAAAGTAATTATTTGTCCAATTTATAGTTTCTCAAAAATCTAATTTTTTCGAAGAATTTTTTTTTCAAAAATGTTATTTGTTTTTAAAAAAATAATAATTTTTGATACGGGAAGTTCCAGCAATTTACCTTAAGGCACGATGCCATGCGCCCCACTAGTTTAATTTTATTTTTGAAAATTCTCAAAATTTTGAAATTTCTTGAAAGTGTTTGGTACCCAATTTTATCAAATTACAAAATATCTGATTTTCGATTTTTGCCGAATTAAAAAAAAATCAGATTTTTTTCCGAAACCGCTAGACCTGCCTTTGCCAAAACTCAATCAATTAACCAAAAAAGTAAATTATTTATTAACTTCTTAAATTTTATTATTAATTCGTCACTTACTTTATGTTCTTGACTGTATAATTACTGGCTCCGTATATATCCATATCGGATAGGGTAACGCGGTATCCCTGCGGTCCGCCGGTGAGCGCCAGCGACAGCTTGTCCATGCGGAAGGGTTCGACCGGCGGCATCTCAATCTCGGGGATTCCTGCGGCCAGGTACGGTCTCAGGTGATGCAGCGAATCCTTCAGACAATCCAATAACGCCGGGTCCGACTCTCGACACTGTTTGATGTATTCGGCTGTGGGAGAGAAATAGTTAAATTATTAAAGGATTGAATGATTGAACGATTTATGGGTTATTTATATATAAATATCACATATATATTAATTTATATATAAAATTAGTAAAAATCACAATTTTAATCAAATTCTGCATACTAATTAGTAAAAATCGTAATAAAGTTCACATTAAAAAAACAGGCAATGCTATTTATTATTTTTATTGTCACATTACACTTGATCATGATTGTACAACTAATAAAAAAAGTAGCTAGTTAGTCGAAATTACAAAATATATTTAGTTTATTTTAGAAAATTATATACGGGGAGTTCTAGAAATCAATGATAAGCCAAAACTGTTTATTTTATTTATTTATTTATTAACTCTTGTCAACTGAGTGATAGTATTGACCGTAACTGATGTGAAGAAATTTAGAAAAAAAATCACCTAGTTTAGAAGTTAAGAGCTTTTAAGTGCAATCTAGATCGTTTTTGATCATTTAGACTTTGTGTTTAAATGAAAACACATTGGCCTGAAATTTTCAGGAATTAAGACTATGAAGTTAAAATGTTAAAAAATTGGTCGACTTTGAAAAGCCATACTTTAAAAAAAAACATACCTTTAAAGGTCTTCCAATAAAAGTTCCAATAAAAGTTTGCGCATTTAATCAGAATTGCAAAATGTTACAATACTTGTTAACTTCCCGTAGGGTAAGTTATAGTAATCGCAAAAAAATCGAAAATAAAAATGTTTGCATTTCTCGACGTTTCAAAGGTTTCTGAATATTTTGGCATACCTTAGAAAAAATGGATGTATGTGTGTGTGTGCTTGTGTGCGTGGGCGGATACAAATGTTTGTCGACGATTTCGAGAACACCGATCAACCGACTTAAATAATTCAAGAAACATTCGATTCGTACTGATAAGGAGACGTGCTGGTTAGTTTTTGGTGGAGGCAGGTCTACCCGTTCCAAAGATACGGGGAAAAAAGTGCCAAAAACGATACGGTTTTTAAGAGAACGGAGCGTCCGATTTTAAAAATTCAAAAAACATTTTACTTGTATTAATTTGTCAAAATTTGTCAAATTTTCTTGAAGGCAGGTCTAGCGGTTTCGCAGATCCAATGAAAAAAGTAAAAAAAATGTCATTTGGCGGTCAAAATGTTTATCGATATTTCGTCTCTATGCATTTAAAGCAGTACGATTGCTTTGAAAAAAAGTTCAGAATTTCCAAACTATGCCAAAATAAACAAAACTTTTTTCTAAATCGAAAAATCTAATTTTTCGAAGTAAAATCGCTTAAAAAAAATTGGTACGGGAAGTTCCAGCAATTTGCCTTAAAGCACGATGCCTTAATTGCCTTAAGACTGAATTCCACTTACAGCTAGTAAGTTTCACACTGAAATAAGATGACAGAAGCAATGAAAATCTTAAAAGCAAATAGAACTAATATTGTAAAAAATGTTGTTTATTTAAAAAAAATATGCGTCAGTGTACTGAAATGTGCCTAGTGCTAAAAAATGTTTTTGTGATCTTCAACATCAATAATAGAATCTTAAATAAATTGTTGACGTTTCAGTTCCAATTCTATATATATATATATAATATATATATATATATATATATATATATATATCCCACTACGTACTTTATAAGTTTTCAGTTTTCTCGAAACAATAAAACGTTTTCTGAGTAAGCTATTTTTTCTAACGAGATGCATCAATCACGTGCTTTTTCTTTTATAAAACAAGCAACTCAAAAAGGCGAAGGAACTCTTTGAGCATAATGTCAACTTTGTTTTCAGAAGTTTTCGCAGTCATTATAGATTTTCTGTAAAGTCACTGACAAACAACGCCAACGATCTCATTCATTAATCATATTTGAGGACCCTTCAGGAAAATACTTTTTAATTCATGACAAAATAATAGTCATCACCTTTATAGTAGTAATATATATATAGAGGCTGTAGAAATTATCGATGAACAACTCTAATTTAATCTGGATGTTTTTATCAAATTACTTTAATTCTTATTAATAAACGAATATTTACTTTTGTTTATAATAGAGATACTTTCCATTTTATTACATGACATGGGTTTACTATAATAGAAAGAAACACAAAGGTCTATATTAAATAAATCATAAATATATAGTGCTTGCATTGAAAATAATTGGAAATAAATATTTATTTAAAAATGTATGAACTATATCATAATTAACATAAATTTTTTATTTAAAATATAACCGTTGTGGCATGAAATTATTCATCAAATTATTATATAATGAGATATGCCTATCAATTACGCATAAAATAACTATAATAAATAAATACCATTAGCAAAAATAAATGCAATGCAAAAATAAACAATTACATAAATTAATTTCTATATGAATGATCGAATGCTTGATGTTAATTCTAGAAAGTTCTTGTTTGATTCTGCAAAACCACTTGTTCCTCCTAATTATTACAATCACTTTTACAGTTCAATTAAATTACATGTTTAGATATATAACAGCATTATGAGATGAGATGTATGTTCTGATAACTTTTGCAAAAACTACATGTTAAAGTACTTTCGTTTTATTTTACAGCAACAGCGAAAGTATGATTGAAATTTAAGTTTGTAAATTCACTTTTTTCTTAGGTTCTTGCTAAATTAAAAGTATATAAATTAATGCGTATCGATTTTGAAAGATAGGATTTGTAGTTGTGTAGTATCAACAATACGTTGACACTTACAATACATTTTTATAACTGAAAATGGATAAAATGAAATGCGTTAAAATAATTAATTTAATTTATGCAACGTAAAGTATATTTATCAGACATCGTATTGATTAATTTTTAGTTTTTTTTTTATATTTTTAACAGCTATCAGAACCTTACGTCCTATGGTCTGTTGGGCTGAAACTTCTCCTTACTTCGTATTTTTCGATGGTAACCCAATGGTTAATCCATCCATTTTTGATGATTTTTGTTATTAGAATTAACTTAATAGGGCTGACTTTTTACTGGTGCAGCAATGTCGGACAAAGGCTATTTCCACTTGGAAACATATTGCTATCTATATTTTCAAGTAAAAATCGTTGTCACTGCTGCCTGACAACAGGCTGCTCGAAGTGGGTATCGAACCCGGGACCTCTGAAACAAGTCCCGTCGCTCTTAACCGCTTACCTCCGGGCGAGCCCAATTTTTAGTGAAAGTAAATATTTCATTTTTAAAATAAATGGTTCAAAATGTTACCTAAATCACTGAATTCTTATTGATTAAAGTAATTATGTAGACGTACCAGAAAGTTTATGCAATTTGCCTTAAGGCAAAACGAGTTTTCATTGAAATAAATAAACTACGTACTACGTACTTTTCTTGAATTTCAAAAGTCTCGTCTCCTAAGTATATGAACAAGTAATATTGCATGTACATTTTTCAACAAATCAAGCGTGTACAAATTTAACTACCATTATAAGCAATCAAAAATCTTTTACTCCCACAAAAGCAAAAAAATCATTCCCCGCTTCACATAAAAGGACAAAATATAACATCCATCGACTAGATGAATAATTTATCCGTGATTTACGGATTGCGTAGGTTTAACAGAAAAAAAGGCAAAATCGATCATATCGCAATATCCGTATATCATACGAGGTAAATAATAATTTCCCTCTTCGCTTTCTATCCTCATATTTAAAAGCATTAAAATGTAAAATCTGTTCGCGAACGCGGTAGTTAAACGCTGCCGCCTCTAACGTTGCTGCGCCTACCTGTCACGGCTGCCTGAGTCTGCTGCCGGAAGAATAATATGTGCCGCCGGAAAGTAATTCAAATTTAATGCTCTTTGAACGCACTTACACTTGCGCAATCCAAACACTTCCCATCGGAAACAACATATACTGTTCCGGTCTCTAACGTGTAAATGACATATAAATATATTATATTTTACATATCAGTGTGAAGTCTCAATCATCGTGGCTTTAAGTTGATTTTGCAAATAAATTATATAAGGCATCGAAATGAATCAATATAAATAACAGATGTTGAATTCATTGGATAATGTTATTTATTTTAAATTAAAAAAAATTAAAATGTGTAACTGACATTTTTTCCCTTTTTACCAAAATTTACTGCCCAGAAGTTAATTCTTTAAATCTTGTATTTTTACTAACCGTAGGTAAGAGTACTCTGATATATTTTATTTTATTAATTTTTTATACTTAATAACCGATAGAGTCCACAAAAGAAATAACAATTAAACTTAACTACTTTAAATGTTGATAATTTGGGCTAAATATTTCAATATTTAGTCTCGATTTGACCACGATCTATCCTGGATTCGCGTATTTATGTATTCTTCTCTATCAAATATTTATTCACTTTTACATTTTTTTAAATCAATTCTTTTTAGAAATTATGTAGTTATGCAGAAATTACAAAACATTTTAAAATTTAGTCTATTATTACGAGGAACTCTATCAATTTACAAAAAATTCAAAGAAAATCATTTTTATTAGTACTTTTTAATTGCAATATATTTCCAGAAAATAATAATCAAATTTTATAATTAACTATGAATATCGCCAATTGATATTTGTGGTTTCAACAGAATTGAAAAATGACATGCTTGTCAAATATATTAATTATAAAATTGCATAATAAAGACAATATATTTTGTGATATATGCATTTATGTAAAAAACGTTTAGATAATGTTAGAAAATTTCTGTAAAACTAAATATATAACAATAAAATCTTAATCTAATTACTTTTACAAATTCACACAACTTTATTTATTCATTTTTATCATATTTGTAAAGATGTTTTCTAATTATTTTTATTATTGATGCAATTTACTATATATATAAAACCTACAATTTTTTTCACAATAAAAACATAACAAGGCAGACATTGAATATTTTTAAGAGAAAAGACATCTCTTACGTTATTTAAAACTGGTTTGTATGAGTTGATAATTAAATAAAATATCAAAAGTGTTAATTCTGGCGCAAGCATCGTGTCGACCTTCA